AAAACGACAAAATTATCAACAAAGACATGTTTAAATAATAACCCCGGAGCGTGGTCACCATCCCACAAGAATGCTTCCCATTTGCTTTTCTCTCGGTGATTCCACGGATAAAAAAGTCACGATTCTCGGAGACGATCCACGCTCTAACACTGGCCACCAACGCATCCAGCTCATCCTAAAATTTGTTCGTTTGCCAGTTTTTCAACGTCTGATTGAATTGCTAGTCTGTAGGATTAACAATAACGGATGATTCGGATCGCCGCGTAAATGATGCCGTAAACTTCTTGTACATCCTTTCGTCGTGAGCGGCTAATTGCTCCCTCGCTGAGAAGTTTGATGAGATCGCGGAAATGGCCCCCCGCCTTCTAACATTTATAGAAGTAGTAAGCATGTGTGGTGAAGATGAGGACAATTTCCGATAAGCATTTCTGTTAATGGAAGAAAGAAGAATATTCTCATGAAAAAAAACAGAAACTCAAACGCCAATCTTCTCGAGAAAAGAACGCGCGAAAAAAGCCGCAATAATTATGCATCAACCTAATACTTACGACAGTTTGATGGTAGTCCGTGGAACTCAAGTTGTCATCGAGTTGCCCTTCATTTCACACACTCAATACAGTGGGTGCAAGGCCACTTATGCCGTCAACCTACCCATTTAGCCGTGACCTGATAGCTTTCCGGCTTTCCGGTGCAGTTCGAGGAATATATAGTATTCCAATATACTCAACAAATTTTCTGTATGGAATCTGATACATACTTGATACAATCAACAGTTTTTATAGAAATTTCATACAGCCAAACTGAAAAAGGAGCAGTGTATTTTGGTGGAAGCACGTCTGCGAAAGTGCAAGTTAAAAATTAAAAATCACATTATGCAACAGCGACTGAGGCACAAACAAAGGCGCCGTCATACGTGCAATGTATTGAGCGAGGAAATTCAATGTTTGAATGTCTTTGACATTCGTAAAGGCTAATGCTAAACGATGACAAGAATCAGGACTGGAACCTAGGCAATATGAGAACGAAAAGGAGCACGGGAATTGTTATAAGAATATTCTCCTGAGTAGGTGATTGGAAAGTAAGAATCGAATTCAAGGAAAGAGATCATTCACAAGAAGTGGCTGTGAAACATGTTTCAGCCACATATAACGAATGCTGAACTGCGCTTCAAACCGGGTGAATGAAGCCCTGCTTTGAGTTCATGGGTGCCAGACACTCTCCACATTATGAGTGATATTTCTTTGTGAACAGAAAAAGGGAGCAGTTAAGGAGCACTGTGAAAGTGAAGAGACAAGAAAGGCTAAAACATCGAGGTCTATCACAAAGCGATCCTTAGTGGATCGGGCAAGGCACAGAAAATGTCAATGTTTTGGTAGGCAGTTGTGAGATGCATTTGAGCGAGGTGTTGCTGTTGATGGCAACGCAGTCAGCATTCGTCGTCACTGTCGAGACGGCGGGCGATTCGCTGACAACACAGCGCTTCAAGTCGCGCTATACCGTCTTCGCGTCCACACGTCTCCTGGTCGATCTGCCATTGTTGAAGCAACAGATTTGCGTAGACTGGCTGCACGAAGTAGCTGAAATAAGAGATGAAGCGCTCGGCATTGATCAGTCCCTTCCTGGGACCGGCAACGCGGTAGATGGAGCTGTGAATTTATTAGGAGATACCGCGTGGTTTGCTTGCTAAAGACCAAGAGAGTGACTGACTGGTACCCAAGGGGAGAACAAGGCTCAGAGGCAGACCCCCACCGATGGGCAGACCCTCTCGTAAAGTTGTACGGCCAGCTGTGGCGCAGAAGAGCCCGAAGCAGAGCGGCTTGGAAGATGTGCGACCTGCGTTTCTGGCGTGCCCGGGACGAATAGCGGTCGAAAGTAAGTAAGTCAAGTCATAAGGCCAAAAAGCCAGTAAGGTCAAGTAACTAGAGTGCAGAAATCAAGAACTAAACCCAAATAAAGTCGTCGGAAAACCACGCTAAAGTCTTGATTTTTACAGCCTTCTCGCAAGATCTTCGGAAACATATGACATAAGGTATCCAATAACATGATAAAAAAAAAAGTAAAAAAAAAGGAAAGCGAGGTGAAGCTGGCCTGAAAACTGTCACAAGGCTAAATCTGACACATTTTTTTGAACCTCTATATGAGTGGAACATTCAACTAACGTAGCCTTTGCAGTTACTGTATCAATGCCGCTGGGGAAGCACTCAAGCGACATTGCCACGCACTACCGTGTAATCTCATCTGGGGCATTTAACTATGTGCGCTTTCCAACAAGAGAAATACACAATATATAATGCGTCACACTGTGAAAGTAAATAAACTTTAAACCCACATGCACGCTTCATTAAGCTCCAACAACGCGTACGAAGACTCTTCACGTCGCAGGTCAATCCTTTTCAAGTATTCGACGCATTTAAGACGGCCTTCCATCCAAAAGGCCTGCGTCCCACCCGCGCTTTCTCTGATTGCTTGGCTTAATCAACTAAAAAGTAGAAGAAATCCATACCGGGAGGCGTTCACGGTGTGCCAACTTTTATAAATGGTATTCCGCATCGACATTGGGCACCGGGGGGGGCAGTATGTGGGAACGCCACAGAAGCATGGTTCATTTTTCCTGAACGGCTCTCTGAATACCAGAAAAGGGTCCTAGTTCGATTCCTCGTGGTGACAAGTTTTTGCATTTCGAGTTGACGTTTCCAAATTCGCGCAAAATGGAGTTAGCATGAATAATTAGTACCAATTCATGATTAGGAACCGTCAGTAACCCTTACAAATAGACTTTGATTGAAAAACTGGTGAAAAAGGTGTGACTAGGGACCCCCTTTTCTGGTATTTACAGGGTGCGCCAAAATTACGGAGACAGCGACTTCGAGTTGCCTAGGATGAGCAAGGTGCAATTCTTTGAAAACAAAAATGCAGTGACGTGCACAGTCCCATTCTGAATCGTCGACATCCATGCAATTTTTGAAATTCCTTGGGTTTGTGTTTATACGGGTCCTCAGAAACATCGAGGAACCATCGACTGTGGCACGCAATGTGGCGAGTAGGACTCGTCAAGCTCATTTTAGAGCGGTTTCTTCAACGAATCCCTAGACATAATGTGTTTTATGCAAGCCTCAGCTTCTAGAACGGATCCGACAGCGTACCCTATCGAGCTCAGATCTGAAATGCTGTTCTACTGCGCACCGTTTAAGCGAAAAAGTCGAAAATCGTTCTGCATCAAATGATGCAACTTAGTACTGAACACAACCTTGCCTATCCGTAAACGGACTCCCTAGCTTGATGCCACAGGCCGCGTTATACGAACGATTCTTTTCAAAGTGAAAATAAACTCAGGATAGCAATGGGCTCTGATAAGTCCAAAAGAGCCCCCCTGATTCCTATCTCTCGTGACATCCAGTGAAACCAGCGCGTCAACTACCTGCAAATTCTATCGCACACAATCCTTAGATTGTTCGTGGTCGCCACAGAAACACGCCCTTCTCATCCAGAATGACTGCATTCAGGCTCTCTGTCCCCTTCCTGACTTTGCAGCTCCTATTGACAGTTGCTCGGATAACATCACAAAAACAAAACGATGATAATTGTCGCGTGCCAAAAACCCTCAACGTCGAAGTCCAATGATTTAGGGACGGTGTCAGTATCAGTCAACCGCTGCAGCTACCATAGATTTTGGTGGTTGAACAAGGTAAGCATAAACAATTCTACACCACAGTACCAAAACTAGGACAGAAGAAAACAGCATCTGTGAATATCAGTTCAAATTGTTTGCTCATGCGTTGTCTCCGTAATTTTGGCGCACCCTGTTCAGAGGGCCGTTCAGGAAAAATTAAACCATGGTTCTGTGGTTCCCGCATGTGCCTCTATATCATGCAAAAGACCGTTTTGAAAAAAGCTTGGCACGCCCTGAAAGACCTTCCTTGTGAGAAAATAATAGAAGGATCTATCAATCGATCGACTTGCTAAGCATACATGACAAGATGATTTACCTGTACATGTTCTTCCTCTTTTGGCCAGTTCCGCGGTTTTGTACTGTAATCAGCTGTAGCCAAGTTTTCCATGCTGAAATCTCACACATGACGGAACCAAAGACAATAGACCAAGAACATTTTTTACTCTATTATGTTTGGTACATGGACCATGGTCCAGCCTTTGCAGATCCTAGAAAAGAGAAAAAAAATCAATGGAACACCTGGGTGGGACGTAGATTCCAGCCATGTTGAGGACATCCTTTGCCAACGGCGCCTTGACGGAAACGTCGAGAGGAGTGCCAGAATGCAGAGATGGGGATATGTTGACCTGAAATAATGGATCACTGTGCAACCCACATGGCAGGCTCAATCTAAGAACGAAAAATGGATAGGAACTGTGTTTCAAGTGTCGCCCAAAATATTGAGAAGGCAAGACTTTTCTCTTTATCGGACAACTGCCATCCCCTCTTCTTTCTGTATATGCGAACTGCTTCAAGCCGTTTTCACCGCTCTGAGTTTACATTTCTAAGTCAGCGCTGGCATGAACAAGCTTCATTCATAAAATACAATCATAGGCGAAGATTTTTTTCAAAGAATTTACAACATAGGAGGTGGACTCAGAAGTTCTTTCAAATGAACAATCTCCGGTCTACGTCGAGCACCAATAGCTCCCACAATATCACCCACTCCCATACTGTGTCATCAGCTGACAACCCTGAATACACCCTCATGCTCCTCAAATATCTGAAACGGTATTTGCATGTATTGGTTCGATTATATACTCTGGGTTTTACAAGCTCCGA